TTTGCTCTCCTAGCTAGCCTTCACTAGAGACTTCTAAAAAAACAAAGATTGCATTTGGGCAAAACTCCTCGCCAATAAATACACAAATAAAAGTGACGATACTAGATACTAGACAAGCTTCCCACCTCATCCTACCATGCGGAGCTGCTAACTTTATTACATGGACTGGCCCTTGTGGAAGAAAGAAATATAAAGCACCTTATGATGGAAACTTGTTTGCAAGTATTCCTAAGTTCCTTAAATAATAATAACTCTACTTACTCACATATTCACACCAATTGCAGGTCATTGCTCCAACGGATGGAAGGAACAACTCTGAAATTTATTCCGAGGGAAGCTAATAAACTTGCTGATATCCTAGCAGAATATGGAAGAAAATCTCTGGATCAAAATCTAATTAAGTGCTAATAAGCTTTATATTTTTGAAGCATCTCTGTCCTTTGTTACTAATGCTCTTGATACAGATGTGAATGGAACTGTTCACTTAGATCAATTCCTTTTTGTATGAATGATCCTTAAATATAAATAAAATTCTTCCATTATAAGTAAAAAAAGAAAGATATAATATATCGATAAGAGAGGGGAAATATTTGTTTTAAAACCTTAATATAGTTATGTTATATAATTTTTTTAAATTATAACTGCGTATAGTAAATATATAACACATATTTATCTTATTATAATTTTTTCCTATTTTTAATACCAAAATCCAACAAAAGATATATTTGTTTCATTTGAGGGTATTTTTTTTATCCTCCCCTCCTCCTTCCCTTTTTCTTAACCTATAAATATTCTTTTTTGCTTGGGCATTGAGAGTCTCAAACCGCCCATCCACACATAAATGTGAAAAATGATGATTGAAATATGAAATATTTTCGTCATTGATATCATACTGTTTATTATTCAAAATGACAGGTTGGACAACAATTTTTCGAGTGATAAAGAGATAACTAATTTCAATTAATTTTAGAATGAGTTTGCTTTATATTTAGTTGGGAAAAATTAAGAAATAACTTGTCCCGAAATTTGTTATCCCAAGATTATAATATTATTTTTATCCCATGAGAGTAAACTAACCGATATAACTTGTTCCCTATTGGTTTATATGAAATTAATTATGTGAATTAGAATAAGAATTCCGTCTTAAGTTCACTCTGTCTATTGTTTCTTATTTGGTGACAAATTATGGCATGGACTTGACGTGTTGCCACTTAAAAAGAAAAGATTCTAGAGTATTTGCCAACCATAGCAAAGTGGTGATAACACTTTTTTTCAATATATTATGTTGAGCATTTTTTGAGGTACAAAGTGAATAATACGTGCGTAATCTCATTCTTATGTAATTCATTAATTTCTACAATGTATTATATTTTAAGTGTAATTTTTTTAATGGTGATTCTTTGTATGTGCATATATAAAAGGAAAATGAAAATAAATATACAAAATATTGGTGACATACAAGTGATATGTATATATGTATCTTGTATCTCATGTATAAGTATTAAGTCATTTTATATTATATGTGTATATTTTACACTTACAATAGAATACATATGACACACAAGTGATACACACGATATATAATGATATTCAATTGTGTATGTCGGACCGTATTTCAAATATGTATGATGGTTAGAGTATGTATATATGTGTGACAGCTGGGATATGTATTTGCGTAATTTTTTAAAAATCAAAACTTAACTATATTATCTATTATTAGGGGCATTAATTAATAGTGCTATTTAAGAAAATTCCCCTATATAAATGAGGCATTGGGTGGGTTTGGATCGATTATTGATCAAAATCAAAATCAAATCAATTTAATCAGTTAAATTATCAAAATTAACTCAAACCAAATACAATATACATTTATCGGTTTGCTTGTTATCGATTTTGATTCGGTTATTTGGTTATTAACCATATACAAAAAATTTTAAAAATGATTCATTCAATCAGGGCCGTTTTAACCACTAGGCCACCAAAGCCATCGCTTGGGGCCCCAATTTTATTTTTTTAAATACTTATATATATTATAAAAAATTATATGTACTTTAATTTATTTATTTTTTAAAATATGAAAGAAGTATATTAAAAAAACAAACAAAATGACCGCTAGTTTTCCCACTTTTTTAAGGGAATGAAACATTTTTTGGGAATAATTTTCTTAAGTGGGAAATTGTGTGTCCTTAAAATTTGATTTGATATTATTATTTACCTGATACTCATCTTTTTTGTTCTCTATTTTATTATTTTTTATTCCTAATATTGAACTCTTTCCTACAATTTTTTTTTTTTACTTATTGTTGCTTGCAAGTTACAAAAGAACAAAAAATGCTTTTGGGTGTCTGCTTCAAAATCTCAAGAAGTGCAACAAGCAATCGTTATATTGAAGGAACACAACACTATTTTGATATTGTTTTATCAACTTATTAAATTCGTGAGCCATGCTTTATTATTCTAACTTTATTTTATAGTTTTTTCTTCTTGAAAATCTATTTTTCTTGATATTCTTAGTTCATAAGTATATATATTCTTGTTTTAGTTATTATTAAAATTATTCAATTTAAATATGTCAACTAGAAAATATGATTCCGATTTTACTATAAAGAGAGAAAAAGAGAACTTGAAGAATTAAATAAATCCCAAAAAGGAGCTCTTGATAGATTTTTAACAAAAATAAAAAAATTGAATAAAAAATTATTGCTTAAAGATTAATGTTAGCAATTTCGGGTAACTGTTGTCTCAGCCGAAAGAAGTTTTTTGAAACTAAAATTGATAAAATCTTATCTAAGATCAACAATGTCTCAAGAGATATTGGATTGATTAACTATATTATCAATTGAAAATGAATTACTAAAACAAATCAATTATAAAACAGTAATTAATGACTTCACATAAAAAATGCTAGAATAGTAGATTTTAAATAAAAGTATATATAATAATATTAGGGTCCCTCTTTATGGTTTGACTTTAGGCCCCCAAATCTTGTTGAGTCGGCTCTGCATTCAATAGAGGAAAAAAAAGACAACAATTCATTCAAAATGAAAAATAATTAGAACGACCAACATTACAGACATGTTAATGCATGCGTATGAACTACTACATAATATATATATATGTGAAGGCAAAACAAAACTACTTTCTCAGCAATATTCACTTGTTTTAAAAAGGCGGAATGACCTGAAAGATCCTTGTACTTGGTTCCGTTTGTTAGTTGAACACTCATACTCATCGCTTTGCCAACTAGACCCTTAAATCCATCAGAATACAACATTTTAAGCTCCTTTCTCCTCCGGTCAGTATGCGTGTAATGAACGCGATTACACGTGGAATTCCACATATTTTTTAGTGTCACATGCAAAATTAAGTGCTAAAAAAATATTTTAAAAAATCAAATAGATCATTTTTTTAATTTCTTAAACTTTTCAAATAGTCATCTTCTTCATATTTGGTCACAAATTGAGCACTAGATTCATACCCATTAGATCAAATTCTTCTTGATTTAACTTGTAAATTCAACTACAAGTTCACCAACACAAACTCAATGAACCCCAATCAAAAAATTTAATTAATTTTACAAATTCACAAGACCCAGTTATTATTTTTTAAAGCTTTTTCAAGCTTATCAATGGAGTTTTAAAATTTCAATAGTCACAATCATCCTTCACATTATCTGCATCTCCTCGTTGAAACCATCTAATAAAAGAATGATACTAATATTTTTCAAACCTAAAAAACGAAAATTTTAGAAGAAACTGAGGCTACTGATTTGTATAAACAAAAAGAAGAAGAAGAGGCGGAGAAGAGTGAATGTGGGGCTAGAGAAAGAAGAAAGTTGAGGGTTGTGGTGAGGGGTAGAGGAGAGAGGGCTGGTGGAGAAGAAGAAAGGTGGGTGTGGGTGAAGGAGGGTGGAAGAAAATGAATCTTATTTTTTAATTTTGTTAAATTGATTTTTTTAAAAGTAAAATATTGTTTTAACTCGCTTTCAAGCGCGTGATTACGCATATTTTCAACTCACCAATATTAATGCTACATAAGCTTGGTCAATGGCCAGAGGGGTTTAAAATATTGTGTTTTGATGAGTTTAAGGGTTTGGTTGGTAAAGTGATGAGTAGGAGGGTCCAACTGACAAACGAAGCCAAGTACAGGGGTCTCTCAGGTCATTCCGTCTTTAAAAAATGTGATTCAAGAAATAACGATAAGAAGAAGAAAAAAAAATCATTACAAGTAATTCAAATTTCAAAAGTTTATTTTTTTGTTGGCAAGAATATGTTAGATAGACTTGACGTGTCTCCACTTAGGCAAATATGATTTTTATTTGCTAACTTCAGGTACAACGGTAAACTGATGTTATTTTATACTCCAATAATGACATATGACGTATAACATCAAAATAAAATAATAAAATACAGTTGGCAGTAATTGGAACTGAATTACGCAGAGTTATCTTGATTAATATTTGGATAATTTAATTGTAAAATGTCATGTGAGGAATAACCCAATGAATGACATATATATTCTTCATTATTTCATTTCTTATACAAGAGCACATCGTGATTCCATTCCATTCCATTCCTCTCCAATCTTTTCAAGCCTATTTCGACTCAATTCATTAAATTCAAACTATTTCAAGTAAGTTGTAGTCTGGCAAAAATGATTTTTATTAATTATATGTATTGTTAGTTCATCTTATACCAAAACTCAATTCGTTCAACCTCTCATGAACAAACAAAAAAACATTTATTTTCCTACAACTTCAGACGGATCACGACTCCAACGACTTCAACACCGGATCATGATCCTACCGGCACCACCATGGAGTTAAGTTGTTAATACTATAGGCTCTCCAACCCACATCTTGATCTTCAATTCCTAAATTTCTTAAAAAGTGTACTTCTATAAGGCTACGTGCAATAAATCCACTTTTCTCTGAATCCACACTAGTAAAAGCTTAGTACATCAAGTTGTACTTTTCCAGACACAAAATCCTAGTAATTAAGATGAATTTTCTAGAGGTGGTCGTTCAGGTAGAAAACCGGAGCAAGAGTGATATCTATCTGAAGGAGAGTCTCCTTCATGCATTGCCAGGACGATACGGCCTTGTGATCAAAATTGCCCCGTTCAGTACAAAGGTTATTGCGGCGCATACCTTCTTTGCCCGCAATAAGTCCTTCGGGAGGCCCTCTATCGTAGAGGTCCATATAAATGGGAAATTTATTCAGCGGTTGACTCCACAGACAGTCGTACATTTCCCTAAAATCATCATTAATGGTTTTACTGATGGAGAGGGATCCATCATCTGTGTGATTCATCCACAACGAGCACTGGAACTCTCTCGTTTGAGGTACTTTCTTATGAAAAAAATTGTATAAACTCTTGTTATATATCATAATAGTACTTCAGTTTTGAAATGGTAAAGGGTCAAATACCAAAGGGGCAGCGGCTCTACAGCTGAAAGAAAAGGTCATCGATGTATTTGAGCTGCTTCTGTCGGGTACTATCAAAAATAGTTTATATACACATCTCTCCTTATTTTTTTGGTCTAAATGTATTACTCATATATTTTAGTTTGACAAATCTAGAATGACTTTAGGCCACTAATGTATCTGAGTCTCCATGCCTATACTATCAGAAATAGTTTATGTATACACCTTTGAGTTATACTTTTGATCCAAATACATCCCTCTTATTATACTTTAGTACAAAATTTACCCTTAATATTTCGAAACCCACCCATTCCCTCCACTTTGATTTTTGTTTTTTAAAGTTAAAATAATAATAAAAAATAAAAAAAAGGTTAATTTAGATGATTTCTGTACGTAGTATATTTTTTATATATATAAAGGTACTATCATTTTTATGTGATTAATGTTGATCACTTGATTTATTCACGTTATTTTGTATATACTCCTACTTTGTTTATGATCAGGGCCTTTAACTTTCTTGCGATGGGCTATAAAGAAAAGGAGGAGGTCTGGGTTGTGAGGGAGTAATGACTCATATCAGATGCATGGATTCATATTTACAGCAGGCTATAGCTACCTTATATGAAATTCATGCTTTAATTTGACTCGACGTCCTTATTTTTTTAATTATTGTTATGGAGGATGTATTTCATTGTTTGTTTTCCTCCTGTGTGTGTATTTTTATTTTCAAAGATACTTGTGATTTTGTTTTGTTTTGCTTTGTATTTCTGATTGTAACAAGTTTTGTATTTTTAATTTTAAAGATACTATGTAGTTTGTTTTGTTTTAAATTTTTGATTGTAATAACTAATAAGTCTTTGTATTTCCATTTGGGATGGAATTAGTCAGTATGATGTTGTTGCAATGTCACGACCAAGACCGTCGTGATTGACACCCAGACTAATCCTTCGGGAGAACCGTTACTACAACACAACTAACCAAATTAACGAAAATCAAAGCATTTAAAGATACGGAAGCAGATTTAAATGTCTAAAGGAAAAATAGGGAGTTCCCATAAACTCCGAAAGTCTAATCAAAACAATTGCGGAAATAATGCCTAGAATCTGAAAGTCAATGTACCAAAACATCTACTAACGACAACTCTAAAAAAATTGGTGCAACCCCAAACTAAGCATAGGAATATCTAAAGTACTAGTCTAAGTTTGAATAGAATGGACTAAACATAACGAGAACTCATGGCAGCCTAGAAGACATGGCTCACCTATGAATTCGACCTCAATCACTGATCTTCTAATCGAGGTCTGTCAGTAGCCGCCTGAAGATGCCATGTACTCAACAAAGAAAGAGCAAGTACAATATTAGTACACAACCACAGTGTACTGGTAGGATCATGCGGTTATTCCAATAAGTGAAACACATGCAAGTAATCACATCATAATAAAACAGGCATATACCTAACATATACAATATCAATCATCATTTCAGGATCAATGTACAATTCCACATTCTCAAACTGTTAGTGCCGGATCGTGAAACTCGTTCCAGGTTAGTGTGTCGGATCGTGACACCCGTTCCAATATGTATGTCGGTACGTGACATATGATGCCAGTTAGTGTGTCGAAATGTGACACTTGTTCTATTCAACATGCCACAATCACAATCACAAGGTGCATTCTCATAATCATACAATCAAGTGTTTATTCATGGCATGCAGTCATTCATTCATACTCATTTACGATTATTGTGATCAATAATGCAACATTCGCATACATACATGCATAATAATGAAGTAATTACTAATATACATCACACAAACATGAAATCACAACTATCACCTACCTTGAATCCAAGCTTGAATCCCCTAAGGCACTTGAATCTTCCCTTTCCAGATTATTTTCGCTTGTTCTAGGTCTACAAACAATTAATATATGCAAGGATCAATAATCAAATGTCTAATTATCCGGATTATAACAAACCCAATAATTCAAGACCAAACCCATGATCCTAAGGTGCAACTAGGGCTTTTCCCCCATCCAATTCAGTCCAACCCCCCCCCCCCCCCCCAATGATAAATAACAAAGAATCTAAGTTCTACGGATCGAAAAAATATATATTATATTTTACCAGTAGATCGCCGTCAAAAGTATATAAAAAATAAAACAAGAATTGGAGATGCAAAAGGTGTTTAGCCATAAAATATCTTCAACATAAAATATTATATATCTCAATTAGCTTATCACCATAAACATATAAGCATCTAACTAGTTTTTCAATCAAACGTACCTAATAAATTTATTTATGAGCACACTGACATAAAAGATAGTGTTAGCAAGTGTAGTAAGAATTAACAAGTTGTATGGTGTGTTAGGTTTATTATTTAAAAGTTAGTTACAAGACTGATGAGGTGACATTAGTTAGTTACAAAGTTGTTATAGATATTTTGTACTCTTTCATTGATAGAATAGTATAAAAAGGCATACATGTACAGATTCATTGTATTAAGACATTAATAAAAATCTCTCCTCTTTCTTTCTCTTCCAAATGCTTTGTAGTTTGTATTGATATTCAACCTCCATTCATGAAGTTATCATGGTATTAGATCCTTCGAGTGTGAAGGGCTAAAGGATAAGCAACAAACTAAAAGGTGCTCAGATTCACCATTGTTCAAAGGTAAATTGAAAGGAAGCATCAAAAGTAAAGATAAACATCAATGGCAAATGGAAGTACAACTGAGAAAACAAGCACTGAAGATGGAACTTCGAGTCAAGCTGTATTTCCAGTAATTGATCACAATCATCCATTATTTCTTCAACACACTGATACTCCAGGTATTTCTCTGATTTTTCTTCAGTTAATTGGTTCAGAAAACTATGCCTTGTGGAGTAGACCTTTTAGGATTGGCCTGGTGGGGAAAATCAAGTTAGGCTTTGTAGATGGACGATTCCCTAAATCCATGTTTGAACCAATGTTGTTTGATTAGTGGGGAAAATGTAACATTGTAGTGTTAAGTTGGATTATGAATGTTGTACGACCAGGACTTCTAAGCTCTGTAGTGTATGCTTCTGATGCACGCAAAGTTTAGATAGATCTGAGAGAAAGGTTTGATACAATAAATGAATCTAGGATTTTTCAATTGCATAGAAAGATTCACATACTGATTCAGGGGACTATATATGTTGCTGACTATCATTCTATGCTAAGAGATCTTTGGGATGAATATGATCCTCTTATGCCTTGTCGTAGTTGTCCCTGTCCAGAGCCAAAGAAATTTGGTGAACACTATGACTATCAAAGACTCTTGCAGTTCCTTATTGGACTAAATGAGTCATACTCAACTCCTAGGAGTCAGATTCTCATGATGAGTACAATTCCAACACTTAACAAGGCTTATGCTCTTCTTATTGACCAAGAGAGTCAGAGAAATCTTGCTAGTTCTGCTTCCAATAGCTCAGGGGTGACAGAAGGAACAACAACGTATACTCATAGAAGTAACACCTAGATTGGTAGAGCATGTACATCTAAAATCTCATTTCCAAGTGGAGCAGGTGGTTCATATTCAAGAGGATCTGGTGGTGGATATAATAGTGGTGCTAGTACTTCTGGAGGAGGCTACAAAGCTAGGATGTCATTTCTTATATGTTAATATTGTGGGTGCAAAGGTCATTCTAAGGAGCAATGCTATAAAATTGTTGAATGTCCTGCAAATTTCAAATCTAAGAGGAAGCCAAATATGTATGCTTATCAAACTACTACTTTAGAGGAGTGTGAACATGAGGTCAGGGTCAACAACAATACACTCTCTAGTCAATTAGGAGCTGGTGCATGGTTAAACAATGGTACATTCTTCACCTCAGATCAATACCAACATATACTTCAACTGCTCACAAAATCTGGAGGTGACAAGGTAGGAGAGTCCTCTGCAAGCATTGCCACTGTTGCAAATGCATGTAGCTCTCTTACATCCATATCTTGTAGTAGTAAATATAACAGTAAATGGATAATTGATACTGGAGCTTCGCATCATATTACATCTAACTTGGATATTGTTGGCAAAGCTAAGAAGACACCTACTCATACAAATAATAAAGTACATCTACCAAATGGAAAAATGTATCAGTGTCACAAATTGGCAACACTTGTATGTTCACAAATCAGTTTATTTCCAATGTTCTCTTTATTCCTGAGTTCAAGTGCAACTTACTATCAGTTTCAAAGCTCACAAAAGAATTACAGTGTATGGTAGGCTTATTTCCTGACTTCTGTGTTTTCCAGGACCTCTCCACTGGTCAGGTGAAGGAGATTTGGTAAAGAAGAGCATGGACTTTACACACTTCATGAAGAATCAAGTCACACATAAAATAAGTTAGTCAATATTACTCGTATAGTTCATGTGTCTGCTAAGTCTATTTCTATTAATGTATGACATAAGAGGCTAATACATGCTTCAATTGATGTAATAAAGAGACATGAGTCTCTCAGATCACTAAACTTCAAAGACCATATTACTCATTGCACTGTGTGCCCTGTGCTAAACAAACAAAGCTTTCATTTCCTTTAAGTGTTCATAAATCTATTGTTGTATTTGAGTTGATACACTGTGATTTGTGGGGTCCTTATAAGGTTCCTACTCATAATGGAAAGAGGTACTTTGTTACAATTGTAATTGATTTCAACATATACACTTGGGTTTTTTTTATTACTTCCAAAGTTGAATCAATAGTTGTAATGAAACACTTTCTTACAAAAGTTCAGAATATATTTTCCACAAGTGTTAAAACTTCCAGGTCTAATAATGATTGTGAGTTCCTAAGTACTGAGTTTTAGGTTCTATTGAGTGAAATGAGCATTTTAGATCAGACTACTTATGTGTATACCCCACAACAAGATAGGGTTGTTGAAAGGAAACACATAATCATTCTTGATATGGCCAGAGCTCTAAGGTTTCAAGCATATATACATTTAAGATTCTGGGGGAGTGTGTACTCACATCTGTGTTCATTTTAAACAGACTTTATTCAAGGTTTTACTAGGCTACAAATCACCCTTTGAGAAACTGTATATGCACCCTCCAAATTTGTCCCACATGAAGGTCTTTGGTTGCTTGTGTTATGCTGCTAGTCCTAAGAATCCTGATAAGTTCTCTTTAAGTATTGTTCCTGCAGTATTTATGGGATACTCCTCTACACAAAAGGGCTATATTCTATATGATATTCATGCTACGTCTTTGTTTGTTAATAGACATGTAGTATTTCAAGAAGAATTATTTCCCTTCAAGTATCTCCAATTAAGCCTCACCAAATGTCATGTTTCCAGTAGTGGAGTATACTCCAAGTTTCTCTGAACCTGTTGTGTCACCTAAAACTGATTCATATAAAATGACCTGTGATTCACCTGAGGCTCTACATGGTGTAGATGAAAATGTGAGTTCTGTAACACCTAGTTCTACTGTTGAGATACTTCATTTTACTGAGGTACCAACTAGAAGATCAACTAGATCCAGCAAACGTCCTCTATGGTTGCATGATTTTGTCACTAAGCCTAAAACATCTGTCTGTACATATTCATTAGCAAATCAATTATACTACAAACACTTGTCACCTAAATATAGAGAGGTATTGAATGCATATTCAACTGTCTCTGAACCTGGTTCATTTAAAGAAGTTTCTACTGATCCTAATTGGATAAAAGGCTATGCAATTAGAGATTGATGCCTAGGAGAGTAATAAAACATGGAGCATAGTTGATTTACCACCTGGAAAGAGACCTATTGGATGCAAATGGATATATAAGATTAAGTTCTTAGCTTTAGGAGAGGTTGAAAGATACAAAGTCAGGCTTGTGGCTAGAGGTTTTAGTCGACAAGAGGGGCTTGATTATGGTTAGACCTTTAGTCCTGTAGCAAAAATGTAGCAAAAATGGTGATTGTTAGGTTTGTGGTGGCTTTGGCTGCATCAAAAGAGTGGTATATATATATATATATATATATATATATATATATATATATATATATCAGATGGGTATCCATAATGCCTTTTTAAATGGTGACTTACAAGGGGAGGTATACATGGAGATTCCCATTGGTTTTGCCAGACAGGGGGAGAGTCACAAAGTCTGCAAACTCCACAAGTCCTTGGATGATTTGAAACAAGCACCTAGACAGTGAAATATGAAGTTAACTGAGGCACTAGTCCAAATGGGGTTCAAACAGAGCCACTATGACTACTCTTTATTCACACAAAAAACTGGGAGTTACATTGTGGTGGTGCTAGTGTATGTTGTTACTGGAAGCAACCACCAACTCCTATGCAACAAAAGACAGAAGATCCAAAAGAAGTTCAAAATAAAGGACCTAGGGGAACTGAAATTTTTCTTAGGTATTGAGTTTTCTAGATCAAACAAGGGTATACTGATGACACAGAGAAAGTATGCTTCGGAGCTGATAACTGAGACTGGCCTATGAGGAGCAAAACATGTTTATACACCATTGGACCTAAACAAAAAACTCACATCAGTTCAATATGATGAACATGTGACTGGTTCAAGTTCTGATCATGATAAGCCACTTGCTAATCCCACAATGTATCAAAAGCTGGTAGGAAAGCTTATTTATTTAACCATGACCAGGCCTAATCTTGCTTTTACTTCACAAGTTCTTAGCCAGTTCATTCATTATCCAAAGGAATCACATATGGAGGCATCATTAAGAATAGTAAGGTACATCAAGGAAGCCCCTAGTCTAGAACTACTAATGCCAGCAGAACAAACTACACAACTAACAACTTATTATGACTCTGATTGGGGGCATATCTTGAAACATAAAAGTCGGTTACAGGGTATTTGGTGAAGTTTGGAGGAGGATTAATCTCTTGGAAGTCTAAGAAGCAAGGAACAATGTTAAAAAGCTCATCTAAGGCATAATTTACGAGCATGGCTGCATGTGCAGTTAAAGTAACTTGGTTAATAGGTTTGTACAAGAAGCTAGGGGTCATGTAACATTACCAATCAAAATATGTGATAGCAAGGCAGCCATCCAAATAGTTGTCAATCTTATCTTTCATGAACGTACAAAACACATAGACATAGATTGTCACTTTGTGAGAGAAAGAATATGTCAAGCGGTACTGCAGACAGAATACATCAACTTACTGATCTACTTTCAAAGAGTCTTGGACAAGGACAACACAATCTACTACTAAGCAAACTTGGAATAAAAAATGTATTTAAACCATAAGCTTGAAGGGGGGGGGGGGTGTTAGCAAGTGTAGTAAGAATTAACAAGATGTAAGGTGTGTTAGGTTTATCATTTAAAAGTTAGTTACAAGACTAATGAAATGGCATTAGTTAATTACAAAGTTCTTATAGATATTTTGTACTCTTTCATTGATAGAATAGTATAAAATGGAAAATGCTCTGTAGTTTGTATTGATATTCAACCTATATTCATGGAGTTATCATTGGGTGAGATGGGCCCTGCTCTGATCCCCCCACCACAACCCCTTTACCAACCTAACTACTCTTACGACCATCAACAACTAAATATGATGACGGAGGTACCAAACTACACTCCACGTCACCCTGCATTCCAGTACCTCACTAACCTACTAACCCCATTTGATACGAATTATATGACCCAAAACACTCACCTATTGACAACATTTCCTCATATAGTACTAACATCTTATGCGAATATGGAGGACATAACTAACTCCTCCCTGAGCCAAAACGATCTTACGCCAATGCCAATTGTAATATGAGAGAGACTAATGAACGGTCTAATAAGACTGGCTGCCACTCAATTGGAACTCACTCAAGAGCTAACAACGCTGGAGCGATACTATATACTACACTAACCGACATCACCTTCCAATCCAAACATGCAACACTTGTTACTTATACACCAACTGAACAACTCCGTAAATTACTCAGTCCAACAAATTTTGGACATAGAAGGAGCTAATCTTCCCAACGAGGTAAACACAATCTATGAGGAAGATGACCAAATGAGGGATCAAGAGGTACCACAAATCCACACGAGAGAGCTATCACTCTCTACTCAACAATCATTTGAGAGAAAAGGAACCAAACACTCTAAATCTCCCCCTGCAATGTCTATACTTGAGGAACTCTCTGACAATAGATATGCCTCAAAACATAGAAAGAAATATTTTGATCAAAGTCCCAAAAGAAATCTTAAAAACCTCAATGAACATTCATTTCTACAACACCAACACTCCTCCTAAATATGTGGTTCTAACTACACCAACATTGAAAGGCAAATAACCAATTGAGGGAATAGTCTTAGAGAAAAACAAAACCAATGTGAACCTGAAGATATCTCTAGCACCAGGAGAGAGCTCAACACCACTAGAAGAATTATCAATGAAGATACTTCTTTGGAACTTAGGAGGAGCACACAATGCAAACTTTATGAATAACCTGAGGGCTCTAACTGCATGGAAAATCCTATTATACTAGCACTCACAAAAACAATACTGGAAG